TTGCACAGACCCTTCCCCGCGGCGGGCCGGCCAAACTGCGCACAGCTTCGCGCAGGCAGCGCGGAGCGGGAATGACCAGGCAGCCGCAGGCAGGCAGCAGGCAGCGTCCCACCTCCCCACCCCAGCGAGGAGAGAACGGGGAGCCTTCCCTGGGAGGGGGCTGGTGCCGGGGCAGCAGCGGGAGCCGGTGTGCCGTCCGGGCCTGCCAGGAGCGGGCCTGGCGCCGCGGTGAGCGGCCATCGCCATAGGGAGGGCTGGACTGCCTCCAGTTCTCTTCCCAGCAAAACACAAAATATGCCACCGTCCAGTGACAGTGAAAACACAACTGTAATACGGTTCACAAATAATTTTAAGTAGGAAAGCATATCCTCCCCTCCATTTCTTCTAACTGGGACATAAAAGTAATCTGCTTTCTTCTTAGCCTTGTGCTATGGAGTGCATTGCTTACCTGAGTAGCACCTTCGCTGTCATACTGCTTTACTGAGTGTTTGGGGTTTTTTTCTTTTTGTTCAAAATAAAAGATGTCTAACACATAAATAGAAAATATTTTGTGTTAGTTATTGGCAATTGACTATTGCCAGAAAGATGGTTCTTTCACACAATGTTTCCAAAGGCAGTCTTTTAGTTATAACGAATTACATTGTCGTCAATGTGGTATTAACTCATTCAAATTAACATTAAATTGGCCTGACAATACTGCATGGACTTCCTATCTTTAATTTGTCCGTCGTCAACATAAGAAAATTCCATACTCTGTACTCGGGTACTCTCTGTACTATAACATACACTCACACAAATACATATGCACATACTGCACCGTGTTGGATTTAATTCGGAGATGATAAAATCTTCATTAAATCTATCTTATAAAGTGTTTATAAGTATTTTTTCAGCTTCCAGAGAGTAACCCAAGGTTACGCACTTTTTTAGCACAAGGCAATCTCCCAACAGGAAACTAATCTTGACAAATGACCAGACTTTGATATCTGTGATCTAAAACACTGCTCATTAGACTGTTCATTTTATAAATGAATGGTAATAAACCTGTTGAGAAGTGTAGGATAGCAGGAATACTTTACAGATCACCCCTTTACAGGTTTCAATCAAAGCCATAAATTTGAAAGGGAGCATACAGATATTCTGTGCTGAGACAAAGACTCTGTCCCACGCCAACCACATTTAAAGAAATATTTCTTTTGCTTTCTATACATTTTACAAATAATTTGCATAACTCTGACTTTTTACCCCCATGGCTGATTATCTCCAGCTCTCAAGTTAATGTCAAACCTCAAAATCCTTGGACTTGTTAAAGTATGTGGAGAGTGGAAATCAAATGCCTTTATTAGAAGCCCCAGGAAATCTCCGACTCCTAAGCACAACGAAAACATTCCAAAGAAAATTGTTCAAAGAGGACAAAGGAGAAAAGCAGAACAAGAAAACCTTGTTTTGAATCAACGATTGCAAGAGTTTTATAAATAAATTCTGTTGCCTGGACAATTTTGAAAGACAACTCAATAGGTTTAGGAGTTTTTAAGTGTGTTTGCCTCTATGCCTGAAACACTTGGGGGATTCAGCTGAGCTAAAGCTTGGAACAATGGCCTGTCTGTCCATCTGAGTATTTGTAATAATCACTGTGAAGCAACTTTACAGTACTAGACAGTCAAAAAATCTTCACCAACTAAAACTAGGTGAATTTAAATTAATTTTGCATATATGTTAGGGGCAATGAAAATGCTAAGACACGTGGTCCTGTCTTTAAACAGTAGATGAAAATGTTCACCAGCGGAAGAGGCCATAAAGATTTTATTTGTTAGGATATCCCTGTGAAGTCAGGCTGAATCAGTAATCCTTAGAAACAACCACAGTTATATGATCCATCGTGCCTTCCTGCATGGGCACAACCATCTGGTGTTTAATACGTACTACTGATTTATTATCTCTCGCGTAGTTATCTTGCAGTAAGTTTGACCCTGCTATGCTCCTGAGAGTCACGGTTCTGATGTTTACTCTTCTGATGTCCTGACAACCCACCCTTTACCTTTCTATTGCTCACTCAGGTCCTTCGTTTCCTCCCGTCTGTGGGCAAATAGATTTTAATTGTTTTATTATAACTAATTTAATCTGTGCTGAGAGATCTCCATGTGCAGTGTGAAATTTGCTGTTAATATTAAGTGTGGTTCAAGAGGTTTGTTATACAGGACAGAGGTATAAAAATAGACTAATTCAGTCAGGTTGTTTATTTACTGGACCTCTGCCGTGAAGCAGTAAATAGGAAGTTATTAAGCCGTGTTTGATATATGCAAGAGGACAGATGCTGCTGTCTACCTATCAGAGATGTTAAATCATTTCCCTTTCTTGTTATTTTGACATTATGTGTTGCAAGAAACCACAGCAGATACCTGGCTTTTCTTTATTTAATAAATATGCAAAGATGATGGTCACAAGCTTTTGTAAATATTGTAGGTATAGTCTCTAGCTCTGATGCTTTTCTTTCTGATAATAGTCTGTATATGGCATCC